TGTACTTCCCTGAGCCGCCTGTGCCCCTGCCCCCTTAATCCCAGTGCCCAGCCCCCTTAACCCTGTGTACTTCCCTGAGCCGCCTGTGCCCCTGCCCCCTTAATCCCAGTGCCCAGCCCCCTTAACCCCATGTACCTCCCTGAGCCGCCTGTGCCCCGCCCAGCCCCCCTTCACTCTCATGTGCCTCCCTGTGCCCCACCCCTTAACACCATTGCCCCGCCCAGCCCCCCTTAACCCCATGTACCTATCTGAGCCTCCTGTGCCCCACCCCTTTAGCCCCATGTATCCTGCCCTCAGCTCCCCCAACCTCCATGTGCACTGCTTCCAACCCCCATTCACTCTCATGTGCCCCAGCCCCCCTTAACTCTCATGTGCCTCCCTGAGCTGCCTGTGCCCTGTCCCCAGCCTCCCATGTGCCCCACCCCTAGCTACACTATTAACCTCCATGTGCCCTACTCTTGGTACCCCCAACCTCCATGTGCCCTCACTCCCAGCCCCCATTCATGCCTATGTGCTCCACCCTGAGTCCTTCAGCACCCCCATTCACCCCATGTGCCCTGTCCCGGGCCCCTCAGCCCCCTAATAGCCCTGTCTTCAGCCCCACCCATTAACCCCGTGTGCCCCACACCTGTATTAACTCCTAGGTGTTCTGCCCTCAGCCCCCATTGACCTCCATGTGCCCAGCCCCACATTAGCCCACATGTACCATGCCTCCCGAGTTCCCCATTAATCCCCCTGTAGCCTGCCCCCAAGCCTCTCATCCCTACTCCATGATCCACTTTGTATCCCGCTCCTCAGCTCCACCCCAGGCATTAACTTCCTGTAACCTGCCCCTGAGCCTCTCAGCGCCACCCCATTGATCCTGCTTCCAAGCCCCTCATCTCCCTTGTTAACCACATGTACCCCACCCCTTAGCCCCCCATTAGTCCCTATAGACCCAATCCTTTGAGCCCTTCCCCATTAAACCTCAAGTACCCCACCCCTGAGACCCTCTTCATTAACCCCCATATACCTCAAGCCCTTCTAACCCCATTAACGCCGACTACCCACAGCTCAACCCCCATTAACCCCCTGTCCTATACATAACTCCCATGTGCTCCACTCCTCCCACATTCCTTGGAGCCACAGCCCATTAACCCCCATGTACTTCAGCCCTCAGAGCCTGCCACCCCACCCTCAGCTCCTATCTCACCTGCTGACCTCCCCATCCCTGAACCCACATACTCAATCAGTTCCCCTCTTCCTGGCTCTGCCAATCCCTTAATTTGAAGATCAGAGATTTGGGATTTTTTGATCTCCACAGACACTACAATTGTCCCACCTATGTGCAATGAAAATCTTCTTCCTCTCAAAGCATATGACAGTCCCACAACATCCTTTTTGGCCTTGTGCAAAAATGAGTTACAGTCAAATTAATCTATTGCACGTGTATATTGGTTGAGATTTCCAAGGGATTTACACACATTTTTCTGTTTCATTTAATGGAAAATAAGTGTTTAAAACACCTTTCCTGTTTTGAGTATCTCAGCCATTGTGTCTACCACTACTGATATTTGGAAGCAGAGCCTGCAGTTAGCTGCACCGCTTATTGGAGGAGATAATCATTTAACCCTTTATCATCTTCTCTCTCAAAAGCCTCACATTGCAGCCACAAGCCTTCTGATCCTCAAATAGTAATATTCCTCTGTCTCTGAAGCTGGCCAGTGCTGTTCCCATCTTCAGTCCGAGGAGATCACTCAAGAGACTTGAGGTGATCTCTAAAGCTGGGTGGGAATGGGATTTTCCAATTCACGGAGAAGTCTGTGATTCTGAATTTTTTTTCCTATTCTGAACTGGAATGAAAACAAAAAAAATGGAAAATTTCTATGAAACAAGGTTTAAATAAAATTGAAATAGTTTGCTCCAATTTTGACTTGTTTTGTATTATATAATATATTTTATTATATAAATAAAAAAATCAAATGAGAAGTAGTTTTGAAATGGAACATCAAAATGGAAAAATCTTATCAGAACCCTCCTTTCCATTTTTTTTTCAAAAATAACGTTTTTTGGAAAACAGCATGTTGCCATGAAACGTTTCGCTTTTGCTGAATCTGCATTTCCTGACAGAAAACCATTTCATCAGAAAATTTCTGACCAGCTCTGTCACCTCCCTCCACTGAAATTGAGCTTGTTTGCAGATTGTGACCGGAATTTGGCAATTTGCAGACTGGTCTGATTGTGAAACGGCTTATGTTACTTGTAGGTTCTGTAAGAATAACTTGCACTGCCATCATAGTGACTTTGTTCCTGCATATATGTTTGAGACTTTCTTTTTCTGTGCACAGACATAAAGATGTTCTTTCTGATCACTGGTCCAAAACCAGTGCTGGGTAAAAGTGAGTTACTGGTCCTCTGAGCATTCATACAGGTCTGCCCTGGCTGGCCATAAATCTGGTGCATCTGTAGAGAGCTAAGGAAAAAGCTTGCCAGTTTAACTTCTCTTCTCTGATGCCATAGTGCTCAGCTGATCTGTGAGCATCTGTTGATCCCCCAGGGAAGCACAAATGAACACCCCCAAGCTTCTCAAGGAGCAGGTAGCCCTCTGGTGAGTGAGACAGAGAGTAAGAGAAAGCCATCATGCGGGGAAGGGGAGGAGAGCCCTCTGCCCAAAAGAAACACTACAGAAAAAGAAAACAGAAAGTAGCAAAAATTCACAGACGTGATAAGAGAAAAGACCATGACCTTGTCTACACTACAAAATTAAGTCAACCTAAGTTAGGTTGACATACAGCCACCACAGTAATTACTGCAGTAATTAATGTCCACACTATGCCCCCTCTGGTGGTGGTGCTCGTCCTAATCAGGAGCGCTTCCACTGACTTAACTGTGTGGGGCGTAGTGAGGCACTGACAACTGGAGCCTCCCAACCCACCCTGGTGCCAACAGCCGGAGCTGTGAGCCCCATGCAGTGAGTTTCGCAGCCAACAGGTGATGTAAGTAATGCAGTGGACACTGCATTGCCCTAACTACATGGACCTAAGTGCTACACCTCTTGTGGAGGTGGAGTTATTAGGTCAGTGTAGTGGGCAATTTATATCGGTGGGAGCAATGTTGTGGTGTAGACTCCTACAGTTAGATCAGCATAAGCTGCCTTACGTTGACCTAACCCTGTAGTGTAGACCAAGTCTTAGAAAAGGACAGAAGACCGGGAGAGATTAGAGACAGAAGAAAAAAGAGAAGGTGCTAACTGTGGAAGGTACAACACAAAGGGTTAATGGACAGTGAGGGAACCCTTCTGCCAACCTATCACAAACCTTGTGACAAAACAAGGTTGAAGATCACAAGTATAAGGTGTGTATTTCTAGCTTTAGTACAGCGCTACCCAAACTTTTAAAGGTTTTAAAGCACACACCCTTCAGGAAAATGAAACCAATTCTATCCTCTTTGTAAACCTAACCTGTTGCTAAAGGCCTACCTATCTTAATGTATGCATCTTCCCTGCCTCCAACCTGTGAAATACTTTACATGTCTAGACTGTTAACTATAGTTGGCATTTGAGTTAGCATGCATTGAAATCAGTGGGGCAGTAGAGCTATTGTCTCAAGTTGTCTAACTGTATAGCTGTAAGAGCAAGTCCTCTAGTGGAGATGCAGCTGATACCAGTAAAAAGAGTCCTGACTTTCCCTGCAGGAGCAGTCCTAGCCATTTTGCTGGCCACAGCAGGAAACATTTTTGCCCCAAGAGGCCAAGACAAAACAGCCCCCGAAGCTGAGTGGCACAGCAGTATGGTGCCACATGGAAGTTGGCACTCAGGGAGACTGCCTTGGTCGCCTGTCCCTAGACTTGGTTCTGCCTCCCTGGGTGACATAAACTATATCAGGAAAGCGACTCCTGTCAGTATAGTTGTGCCTTCGCAAGAGGGGTTGCTAGCATAGCTATGTCAGTTGTGGTGTGATTATTTCCCCCCACACACATTCCTATCCCATGTAGTCATGCTGGCAAAATGTGCAGTGTAGAGTGGGTCTTAAATTATTATTTTGGCACCTTTATACTGGCATAACTGAATCTACACTGGGAGCTGTACCATTATAACTGTTTCAGTGAAAAATCACACCCTTAATAGAAATGGTTACAAAAGCTGTGTGTGGACCAGGCAGATTTTTTAAGTGAAATCTGAAACGAGTGAAAAATGTAGACATCTGTCCCAGCTACTCTTGCTAGTCATTTGTGCCTCCCCAAATGGGGCATGCCTCACGCTCTGAGAAGTGCTGCTCTAATGATTCATGATTATGAATCTTGAAACTGTCTCTGGCCCCCCTAGTGGTGGTTTTTTGACATGGGTTCAGGACTGAATATAGCAAGTCCCAGGCCTCGGATCAGTATAATTTCCATTTGCTGCCATCCTCTTGTTTCATATTGTTTTTTTAAATAAAATGTGTTTATGTCCAGTGTTTAATGCTCACTTGTTTTTCCCCAAAGATGGGTTCAGGGATTCACAAACAGGAATGTTGGTTTTGTCAATAACAAGACTATCTGCTACCCCTGTGGCAACTACATCCTTTTTGTTGACATTGAAACAAAGAAGACGACAGTGCTGAAGTGTAAGAATGGCCACATTGGAGCCTTTGCAGTGAATGGGAACAGTCAAGTGGTGGCTTTTTCAGACCAGAAGCTAAATCCTGTCATCTATATCTACACTTTTCCAGGACTTGTTAAACGGTCAGAAATAAAAGGTAGTGATGGGGGTTTCCCTTCCTCGTTCCTATTCCATTAAAATAAATACTAAATAACCATCTTGTGAAGGGCATTTTGGTAAGAATAGAAACCTCTTAAAATAGCATGGCAGAAAGGTATCTAATGACAGGAGAGATGCAGGGAGTACTATAAAGATCCCTGGACTGCTTTCAAATAAAGACCCAGATCTGCAGCCCTTCGATCTACTAGAATCCCATTGAATTTGTAAGCGTAGCTAAGAGCTGAATGAAGGGACCCTGAAAGGTCATCAAATCCAGTCCCCTGCCTTCACTAACAGGACCAAGTACTGATTTTGCCCCAGATCCCTAAGTGGCCCCCTCAAAGATTGAACTCACAACCCTGGGTTTAGCAGGCCAAGGCACAAACCACTGAGCTATCTCTTCCCCTCTGCCCCCTGATATATGTGAGGACTATTCCATTTCTAGAATAGAACGATGCAAGCAGTTTTATATCCTATTTTTGTTTTTTTTCCCTTAAACTGTAATGAAAATTCTTTGTATAATCACATCAAAGTGAATAATCATGGATGGCGCAAAGCATCAAGCTTGTGGTTGTCCAAAGTGTAGCCTAAGGCTAATTAAAATCCTTGCTATTAATTTTATATTTTAGGGCAGGCACAGCTGGACTACTCTTTACTTGCATTCAGTTACATGGGTCCTTATCTGGCCAGTTACTCTTCAGTCCCAGAATTTGCTCTTTCAATATGGTAAGTATCAGACATGTTCTTTTAATACTGGGTACTTTAGATGAAGGTTTTTGTATGAGCACTCCTTGAGCAGAGCTTCAATTCTCTGACTTGCCAAGAGAAAGTAAGGCCAGTAAGGCCAAATGATGCCTTAATTTCCTCCTTCTTCTCTGATCCGCCGCTGTCTGCAAACATTCTCTGCCTGAATTGACTTGCATTGAGTAGTGTGGAAAACTTCATATAAAATTTATTGTTATTTTGCCATAGCTAATTTCCAGATTGTTTTCTTCAAGATTTTACATTTTGATATATTTATAACAGGAAAATAAGCCTTTCCATCACTTAATTATGTGAACAGTCCTGGAAGCTGACTGCAGCGGTAATCATGAGAGAAAGTTGCCTGCTAGCCAGCGCACAGGACTGGTAGCCAGAAATTGCTGAGTTCTAATGCTGATGCTGACTCTCTCAATGGTCCTACGCAAGCCATTTAACAACCCCGCTGAGCTACTCCCTCTGTAAAATGGGGATAATGAATCTTAATTACTTCATGGAGCTTATATGAGGATTAATTAGTTAAAGTTTGTAAAGCAGATTGGGGATATAAAATGCTTTGTAAATGCTACGTACACCTCTATCCCGATATAACGCTGTGCTCGGGAGCCAAAAAATCTTACCGCGTTATAGGTGAAACCGTGTTATATCGAACTTGCTTTGATCCGCTGGAGCGCGCAGCCCTGCCCCCCCGGAGCGCTGCTTTACCGCGTTATATCCGAATTCGTGTTATATCGGGTCACGTTATACTGGGGTAGAGGTGTATTTGTTTTCCCATAAAAAGCCTCAGCACTCCAATCAAATCACTGAGAATTCCCAGTTTCTTTCTCTCTTAAAACACCACCACCCTTGTCACAACTTCCAGCTGAGAAAAGGAAAGGGGCTTTAAAGCCCCCGCCACTCTTTCCTTGTCCTGAGGATCACAAGTATCCATGCAATCACCTCACCAGGATCAACTTTCACAGCACTCCCAGCTTTGGAATGAAGAAACCTGGACTAGCACTTGAAGCCAGGCATCTTTCATAGCTGTGCCAAACAGCACTACATGAGGTGCTTGAGCCACTCGGTCGGATTGTTTGCAGCTTCAGTGCCATGAAAACACATATGGTGAGATTGGTTGAGGATAATGAAAATAGAACTCATGGTTTATTTTTTAAGTTGCTCTTCGTGAGCAACTTAAATCCTGCCTCTACCTTTGTTTCTGGAGTGGTTCCACTGGTAGTGGAACCTGCACAGCACAGGGAGGGAAGATCATGGGGCGGGCAGACAGGCAGGCATGCACAAGGAGTGTCTATCCTGTGTACACCTCAGCTCCAAGAGACCCCTGCCTATACAGGGGCATGTGAGGGGTGAGAAGGCGACTGCCACCTTGAGTGATTGGTCCATCAGCCCTCACAGAGAGAGCGCCGATCACAACACATCATTTGTGGTGTTCTAACCAGTCCTTCAGCCACGCACTGGCCAGCCTGCCAGTGGCACTGGATACCCAATTGGCGTAGAGCATCGCATCCCAGAACCTCTGAGCAATCCACCAGCCTCAGCCTCCCAAGTGGCTGGGATTACAGGCACACACCACCTCACCCAACCCGCTGCAGTAATAATAAATAATAATAATAATGATTTCTCCATTGAGGACTGAGAAGAGGAGAATAACATTCATCACATACTCTAGCTGTGCGATTCAGCTCAGGATTTAGGCCGAAACATGCTTTACAACAGATAAAGCACGCCAACCAGACAACTGACTCTCTGTCTTGAAGAGCTTACAGTCTAAAAGGCATGAACAATGACCATTCAGAACTGAATTAACATGGTTGGCCCAGTTTATGCCTCGTGTACACGTTAAAAGTTTCACCAGTTTGAAAGATTCTGCCAGTCCAGTAAGATAGGAAATTCCACTGGAAATGGTGGAACCTTTCAAAGTAATGGAACTTTCTAAGGCCATCTGCTTTAAGTTTTACTTAATCAGCAAAGTGACCCCAGAATGAATTTGACCCCCAGCAGCTGGTTGTCCCAAAGGAATGACCCACAATTCAAGTCTGAAACAATTTAATAAAAAAACCAGGATGTTGTTATAATACTAGGCTTTGGTCCTGCTATGAGCTCCTCCACTCAGTGCACCTGTGGAGTTCATTGCAGAGTCAGGGCCTTCATCTATGCAGTCTGCACACTGTTGGGTAATCATTCTTCCTACTTTGGGTACACAGAAATAATATTTTACGGGGTAAAATAGAGCAGAATATGTTTAGTATTCTGTGATTTCAATATGATGTTTGTGCAATGTCTATCTGTATTGTAATCCTCAAATTGTTTGCTATGCACAGATAAAAGAGATTTTTTTTAAAGTTAGCTCGGGCTTGAAGTATCGGAAGCTTGTGGATAATGAAAAGCTGCTTTTCATGGGAGACATTTTATCCCTAGATCTTTCTTCTGTTCAAAGCAATGGCTCAGTGCCAGATGCTTTTTCAGACACATGCACCATATCACATCATATCTTAGTAAATTAGCTACTACAAAAAAAGCTTGGCACAGCGTGCTATGTATCAGAACACACTGATAGATCTTTAGGGAGAGAGCTACACTAACATCCTTTTATGCCAGAATTTCACCTTCTAACTTCCTTTAATATTAATGGAAGCTACTGAACACGTGTTAATACTAGTGCATCAAGATAAAATACACCCCTTAAATCATGTTTTGTTTCCCAACACCCATTTTTTTCAGTGTGATATTAATGTTAATAATTTTCTTGCATCCTGATCAATATCTATAAATGAATTTGTCACAAGCTAAACCAGCAGGATTATACTAAACTCCTATACCAGGGATCAGCAACCTTTGGCCCGCAACCCGCCAGGGTAAGCACCCTGGCAGGCCAATTTGTTTACCTGCCGTGTCCACAGGTTCGGCCGATCGCGTCTCCCACTGGCTGCGGTTCGCTGCTCCAAGCCAATGGGGGTTGTGGGAAGCGGTGTGGGCCACGGGATGTGCTGGCCACTGCTTCCCGCCACCCACATTGGCCTGGGATGGCGAACCATGGCCAGTGGGAGCTGCGATCGGCCGAACCTGCAGACGCGGCAGGTAAACAAAACAGCCCGGCCAGGCAGGGAACTTACCCTGCCGAGCTACATGCCAAAGGTTGCTGATCCCTGTCCTATACAGTAGCATCTCCATCCTTAGAGATTTTTAAGGCCTGGCTTGACAAAGCCCTGGCTGGGATAATTTAGTTTGTGTTGGTCCTGCTTTGAGCAGGGGGTTGGACTAGATGACCTCCTGAGGTCTCTTCCAACCCTAATCTTCTATGATTCTATGTACATGCTAGAGTTCTTCTTCACTTCAACCTTAGTCGTACATAAAAAAGCTGAAATTCCAACTCCAAGTTCAAGTGAAATGCTTTATCAATATATTTTTAAATTGCAAATGTTAACAAGAAGTTAGTGTCAAATATGCTGTTCAGGAAATGGTGACAGTTCTCCTCCAATGATGCTAAGCAATTCTGAAGATAGCATGTGAAAACACAAATGTTTACCTTTTTACCTATAATAATTGTAGGATTTTTTTTATCCATACATCTTAAAGCTCTTTTACAGATGCCTGTAAGGATTATGGTCCCTGTTCTATAGATAGGAAGACTGAGGCACAGAGGTGGGTGGAGGGAAGTGACTTGTCCAGGATTACACAAAGAATAAATGACAGAGCTAGGGATAGACTCCCAGCCTAATGCCCTGTCCACAAAACATAGCTGCCTGTGATGTACAGCAGCACTTGTTGACATGTTTGTTTTGCATATTCTTACAATGTTTTCTCTTAGTTAGTAGCAATGTCGGTCCTAAACAATATTCATTTTACATATGACTGACTATCCAGCTTCTTTTGTCATTCCCACCAAGAGGAATTAACTTGATTGACAGTTTTTGTCTGTGACAAGGTGCCAGATTCCTGAGAGGAGCAGAGCATCTGCTACTGCCATGGATGTCAATTGGCACTTCTCAGGATCGAGCCTAAATAGTCATTCTGAATTTTGTGACTTATTTGATACATTTTTTTAAAATTCTCCTTTTTGAAGGGACTGGCAAGAAAATATCCTTTTGTGCAGTAAATCTCAACCAGGTGTGAAAGTGACCTCTATGAGCTTTAACCCCATGAACTGGCACCAGCTTTGTTTGTCCAATGAAAACTCCCTGACTGTCTGGAATATTGAAAGGAACGATCAAGAACATCATCTCAAGTCAAAGTAAGTAACACATCTTCCAAGCTAAAAGAAAACTATAGAGTTAACTTTATTTTAGTGCCTAGGATCACTGACATATATCAGTTTACAAAGACTATGGATCCAATTAAGATTAACTGACAACCCTTTAAATCACAACCAATAAGAACTTTAACTGTCTGTCTCTTGAGTTGTGTGTGTTGAATTTGTGATACCATTTCCTAGTGCTCAGGTCTCCAGATTACAGCCATCACTATAGTTGATAAGAACAGTCAGGTTTGTCAGCAGTCTTTGGTAAGAGGTCCAGGATTGAATGCACATGGAGACTGGACTGTCTTCCCACTCCTGCAGGTGGCTCTGTCCTGTCAGTATTCCTCAGTCCTGTTACGGCAACGTAGGAGAGCTTGCACCTCTGCTCTTGCATGTGATTACCATGTTTGGACAGAGTTTCTTGCCTGCAAAGATCATTTAGTAAAGTGGAAAGTGTGTATTTTAAAGTGGAAGATGTGGTCACAGACTGGTCTGACAAAAAAAAAAAAAAAACATGTTGGGTCCAATGCTTGTTCTCCATGTGACTACCATATCCTGTGTGGTGAGTTCACAAATCCAAAGGTGATTTTTCTAATGCTCAGTGTAATTTGCCCAGCACTGCAGACTCAGGGCTTGTCTAGTGTGTGTGTGTGTGTGTGTGTGTGTGTAAACAGCAAACCATGTCTAGTGTGGATGTATAAAAGTGCTTATACTAGTATAGTTTATTCCAGTTGAAAACTTAAATAAGCTATACTGATATAAGGTACCATTATATCATTATAACAGTCTACACTAGGGCTTTTACCAGGATGACTATGTCAGCAAAACATGACACCTCCCCTCCCCAAGGACACGGTTATGCTGGTAAAATGTGTAAGTGTAGACCAGCCTTTAATGTGGGATCTGAAAATTAAGCTGGATTCTTTTTGCTTTTTATCACTATAAAGTTTACTCAGGAAGTTACATTTATTTTTCTCTCTCTTCACTCCAGTCAGCAGGAACTGAAATTTGGTTGAAGGATTATTATTTATTTATACATTTTTACATAAAATTTCATTGTCCTAAATCAGCATATTCCCCAAACTACTGCATACTCGCCCTCCCTTCTACATTTTAATAGGTACTCTGCTATCTGATTGGTGATCATACACAAAAGACACTTTCTGAATGCCATTCAGAATGCAACAGGAGAATAATATTTAGAGCATTTTTAATCTTTAAAGCACTTTCAAACATTAGCAATGAATCGTCACAACTCCCTGCTAGGAGGGTAATTATTAACCCCAATGCACAGATGGGGAAAACTGAGACCCAGTATGACTATACTGAAATAAAAAACCTGCAGCAGCAAGTCTCAGGGCCCAGTTCAACTGGCAGTGGGACTAAATATAGCAGTGTAGATGCTCGGGCTCAAGCCCAGGCTCTCAGACCCTCCCCACTCACAGGAATTCAAAGCCCAGCTCCAGCCTGTATCCAGACTTTTGCACTGCTATTTTTATCCCTGCAGCCCAAGCCCTGTGACCCTGAGTCAGTTGACCTGGGCTCTGAGACTTGGGACTTGTCTACACTGCGAAGTTGTCAACAAAACTTTTGTCTTTCACGGGTACTTAAAAAAGCCCCACCGTGAAAGACAAAAGTTTTGCCGACGCAAGTGGCAGTGTGAAGGCAGCTTTGTCGGCAGGAGTGCTCTCCTGCCGACAAAGCTAACGCCACTCGCGGGGCTGGAAGTGCCGACAAAGTACCGAAAAAGAGCATTCACACTCGCTGACTTTTAGCGACCAGGCTGTGTCAACGCAGCCTTGTCACTAAAAGCTGCATGGTGTAGACAAGCCCTTGCTGTCTCTGGTCTTTCACTGCAGTGTAGACATATCCCCAGAGTGGGTAAGTTACTTGCCCAAGACAAAAAGGAATCCGTGTCAGAAGCAGACATTGGGATAGAATGCAGAAGTTCATCGCTGCCAGTTCTGTGCTCAGACCTTACTTCTCCTGAAGCAAAAAGACTATGGATATGTCTACATTATGGAGACTATACTGGCATAGCTATATTGGCACAGTTATGTCTACATAGCCCCATAGCGTAGACTCAACCTACACTGACAGAAGGAGTCACTGTAGGAACACTGCCTCCCTGAACGAAGTTAGCTATATTGACGAAAGCCCTCTTCTATCTACATAGCTGCACCTACGCTAGGGATTTTGCCGTGATAGCTAAAATGCTTAGTGTGGGTGTTTTTTTTCCATTCCCCTGATCGACATAGCTATGCTGGTGTAACTTTTCAGTGTAGACCAAGCCTATTATTCTTTATTGCAACAATATCTGCCATGTAAACTGCTTGTTTAAATCAGTCTTTCATTATTATAATAGAGGTAAAGTCTTTGTATTAGAACGTCAACAAAGGGTCAGAGTCTCCAGTTTTTGAAAACGTACTTCCCAGTGTTTATTTTCTGTAAATGCTTCCTCAGTTCATGTGCTATTTCCTTCCTTTTTGCAGGCCTGTCAGACTCCCTGCCGAAGATGGGTCTCTGATGTGTAAACAGGATGTCTTTTTTTCACATCCTGATATCCAAGACCTCTACTATGGGCCTGTGCTGCCAATTTCAGCTATTGCTGGGCTGGCAGGGGATGAAGCAGAGACATTTAGGGTAATTTCAACTCTGCATCTAACTGCTAATATAAAATGTTATGATTGTAATGATACTGACAGATATGAACAAAATTCATAATTGAAAGCCTATTAAACTTGCCCAGTCTAGGAAAGGGGTATATTCTCTCAGCAGTGTTTGTGAAACCCATATTAGCATTAGAATTATAATCACAGGGGATGGCTCACTATTTTATGCATCAGGTTTGAAACGCCTAGTGTCCCAGATAAATCACATCAGGGCTGGTATAGCCCAATTTAACTTTCCAGGGTAAATATAACGAAGAACCTTGTAGTTCTTCTTCAAGTGGCCTTGGTGTATTCCTATTTGTGGGATATAGTGCCTCCGGTGTCAAGCTATCGAATTTTTCTAGCAAACTGTGCCCATTGGTGCCATTCACCCCACTCTTGCAGAAGATTTCAAGGGTATAAAAGGGGAATGGGGGGGGTCTCCACACACTTCAATTCCATTGTAACCACAGAAGGTGCAGAGCGGTGGAATCACACACACTGTCCTCAACGCTTTCCTCATTGATTTCTTGTAATTTTGCCCTTTGGGGCTATTTTTTTTCTAGTTAGTTAAATTAGCAAATTGTTAGCAAAGGCTGCCTTCAGTCGGAAGAATAAAGAAGAAACGGTGCCTGTTGGGCACTGGTATCCTCCGGAAATGCTGCAAGCGTGGGAGGGTCTCACATAAACCTATGGATGGGGGAGGCTCCTCAGGCCAAGTCAATTACGTCTGTTAACGTGTAAGTCCAGCATTGACTTGGACATCCGCTAGCCTGTGGCTCTGTGGAAAAGATTTGTGCTTGCCAAGGAATTCCCTTCTCCCCTCCCTTACCATCTACAGTAATATTTACCGATGGTGGACTGCAGTGGTCACCTTGTTCTCCAGCCTTTTGGGGCCTCCAGGCTCTGCTGGAGATAAAAGCTTCCACATAGGCTTCTGGAGTAGAAAGTGATTTGTCTAGTCTGTAAGATTTTCTCCCATTGATCAAGACCAGAAATTCATCTGCAGAAAAGCGCAAATGTCTCACTTTGACAAATACTAAGGAATTTTTTCGGAATTTGTCGGAGGAAAAACACAGTTCTCACTCTCTCTTTTTGGGTGCAGCAAAGTCAGATACTTTATTATCTCTAGCAATTGCATGGAGGGAGAGAGTGCACTAGGACACAGGGTTTCCCCCTCCTAGGCAGGTCTCTCTACAGGTAAACGATTACAGCACGCATTT